AATTATGAAAATGTCCCTTTTTCAGGAGAGAGCTCAAGAAGGGTAAAATTCAACTACATTCCATCAATTGTTTTAGTTTTTCGTTATTTGGATTTCACTTTGGAGTTTGATGTGAGTAATGTTGCGCTTATTAATTATAGTTAACCTTGACTAGAAAATATCAACAATGATTGGTGACAATAGCTTAGATCGTGTTTTTCTTCTCCATTGTGATAAACCTCCTGTACGTTTTACCTACGTACGTGATAAGCACGAATGGAATCTAAACAATTCCAGTAAATCTTATTACCTGAATTATGCACAACGAGTGACAACTCGAGCTCAGAAAACTGAATCAATGGCAGAAAAATTACAGAATCAATGACCTAGGTATGGGGGTGTTCGAGTGACCCCATGCACTCCCAATTCTAAATTGACTCAGGAAATTCTAGATCCCCAAAGAATCCCCCTCCCTTGCTATTTATATAATCCTTATTCCCGTAACTAACTTTCCCCCCTAAACCTACATAATAACCACTCACTTGCCAGCTCACACACGACTCGCCAGCTCAGCTCCCTGCCCTGCCAACTCATCTCCCTGTCCAGAAATATCTCCCAGACTCATGTCTCCACTGCCATTCCCTGCATCAGCCACTCTCCTCTCCCGAGTCTTCCTCCTTACGTAGGTAAACCGCAAAGGAGGCTTATCAGTACGAAGGAGAGTTAGAGAAAGGAATGTGGCGGGTGCAGGGGCTAGCAGTAAGGATGCGAGCCAGCAAGGAATTACTCGGGAAGAAGATGAGCTGGCAATTCCAGAGGCTGAGTTGGCAGCTGGCAATTCCAGAGGCTGAGTTGGCAATTTTCGGGAGAGGATAGGTTGTTTGTTAGAGGGAAGTTAGTTACTGGATATATAAATACTATAAATAGCTTAATCATAGCTAGGGAAGGCATTCGATCATTTTTTTGAGAAAACTTCCTAGACAAGTTGATAGAAGAGTACGGGATCTCTCGAAAATCTCCGTACCTTCCTTTACTCATTCTTGTCGCCATTGTTGATTCTCGGTTCCATTAATACAGAATTCTCTTTCAATTAGTCATCTTTCTGTGTCAAATTACTTTAGAGCTTATCAATTGGTATCAGAGCCCTTTTCCGGGATGACGAGGAGGACGGATGATCGCAATAAGGAGAGAACGAAGGTGAGCAGGGAGGAATTGTTGAAGGAAGTAGAATCCATGCGTGAAGATCTAGGAAAAATACCTCGGTTGGAGCAAGGGCTCGAGTTATTGCTGATAAGAATGGATGAGTTGTCGAAACAGCGAGGACCTGAAAATCGGGAGTCTCCTGAAACGGACAATGGAATTCCAGCGGAACAAACGGCGCCGACGACAGAAACGGATTACAGGCCGGCGGAATGGCGAGAGGGAGGGAGTTGCACGGAATTTCGTACTCGGCGGGTGGAGATGCCAGTTTTCGATGGGGAAAATCCAGATGGCTGGATATTTAGGGCGGAACGATATTTTTCCTTGAATAGATTGACGGATAGGGAGAAACTGGATGTGGCGGTGGTGAGTTTGGAAGGAGAAGCTCTCGCCTGGTTCCAGTGGGAAGATCGGAGATGGGCGGTCCGGGATTGGACGGAGTTGAAAAGGAAGGTGTTGGAGCGCTTCCATTCGACACAAGAAGGAACTCTTTGTGAAAAGTTCTTGTCTCTGCACCAGGAGACTACGGTGAGGGAGTATCGCCGGCAGTTTGAGATGTTGGCCGCGCTGCTGGCGGAGATCCCGGAGCAAGTGCTAGAGAGTGCTTTTGTGAATGGCCTGAAACCAGAAGTGAGGGCAGAGGTTAGGATGATGAAACCCAATGGGTTGGGCCGAATAATGGAATTCACCCAACGGGTGGAGGAGCGTAACCAACTGGTACGCGGGCCCAAGACCCAAATGTCTTCATTTAATTCCTGGAATAGGAACATTTCTGCTTCACAAGGGCTTGGGCTGAGGAGTGGATTGTCGTATGGAGGAGGTTCAAGAGCAACAAATACCTCTGTGGCTGTAGGGTGTCCTTCTGGAATTTCTGAGAAGACCAAGGAGTCAACCAGTGGGATGGCGCCGTATCGGAGGCTTACCGACGCAAAGATTCAAACGAAGAGGGAGAAGGGGCTGTGTTACCGTTGTGACGGAAAGTACTCATTTGGATACCGTTGCCCTAACCGGGAATTGCAGGTGCTTCTCGTACGTGAAGAAGATGAGGTTGCAGAGGAGCAGGAAGAAAAAGCTGAGCTTGGGGCGGATGAAGAAGTTGTAGAATTATCCCTCAACTCGGTGGTCGGATTCACATCACCGAAGACCATGAAACTTAAAGGAGTGCTGCGAGGACAAGAGGTAGCAGTCTTGATAGATAGTGGAGCCATGCATAATTTCATTTCCGTTGATTTAGTGAGAAAAATGGAATTGTCAGTGGATAAAACTGAAGATTATGGGGTGATTATGGGAACTGGGTTGTCGGTTAAAAGGGAGGGCGTTTGCAGGGGAATTGTGATTTCCTTGCAAGATATAGAGGTAGTGGAGGATTTTCTGCCCCTAGAGCTAGAAAGTTCAGACATTATTTTAGGAATTCAGTGCTTGGAGACCCTTGGGAATATGACGGTGAATTGGAAAAATCTATCTATCAAATTCATGGTGGGGAACCGACAAGTGACTTTGAAAGGAGACCCTGGGTTGAATAGGACTTCAGTGTCTTTAAAAGCCTTGCAGAGGGCATTCGACCAAGAAGGGCAGGGATTGTGGCTTGAATGGAACCAAGTGGAATTGGGAACCTTAGAAAGTCATTGCAAAATGCCTGATGAATTGACAGGGGTGCTGGACCGGAGAGCATCAGTTTTTGAAATGCCAGCAGAATTAACTCCAGAGCGCGCGAAAGACCATGCGATCGTACTTAAGATAGGAACTTCTTCGATTAATGTCCGACCTTATCGATATCCGCAGCTCCAAAAGGAAGAAATCACGAAGTTAGTCGGAGAGATGTTGGCCGCAGGGATTATTCGACCTAGTGTGAGTCCATATTCCAGTCCCGTGCTTTTGGTAAAAAAGAAAGATGAAAGTTGGCGGTTTTGCGTGGACTATCGGGCTTTAAATAAAGAGACGGTGCCAGATCATTTTCCTATCCCCCATCATTGAGGAAATACTCGACGAGCTTCACGGAGCGGCCATTTTTTTCAAGATTGACCTTAAGTCGGGTTACCATCAGATTAGAGTCAAACCTGAGGATGTGCCCAAAATTACTTTTCGCACACATGAGGGACATTATGAGTTTTTGGTGATGCCATTTGGACTCACAAATGCCCCCGCAACTTTCCAATCACTTATGAATGAGGTGTTGCGAGTGTTCCTCCGTAAGTTTGTCTTAGTTTTCTTTGATGACATACTTGTCTATAGCCGGACTTTGGAGGAACACGTACATCATTTGGACCAAGTGTTGGTGGTTTTACAACAGCACAAGCTTTTCACTAATGCGAAAAAGTACAGTTTCGGCCAGCAGTCTTTGGAGTACTTGGGACATATTGTCTCGAGTAAGAGAGTGTCAGCCGACCAAACCAAGATTGACGTAATGCTGAAGTGGCCAACACCCACGACGCTACGTGATTTGCGCGGATT